CATCCATCCATCCATCCATCCATCCATCCATCCATCCATCCATCCATCCATCCATCCATCCATCCATCCATCCATCCATCCATCCATCCATCCATCCATCCATCCATCCATCCATCCATCCATCCATCCTTCCGTCTGTCCTTCCATCCATCCCTCCGTCCATCCATCCATCCGTCCATCCATCTATCCATCCATCCATCCATCCATCCCTCCATCCATCCATCCCTCCCTCCATCCATCCATCCATCCATCCCTCCATCCATTTACCTCTCCATCCATCCATCCATCCATCCATCCTTCCATCCAACCCTCCAGCCATTCATCCATCCCTCTATCCATCCATCCAACCCTCTATCTGATCCTCCATCCCTCCCTCCATCCCACCACCCATCTCTCCATCTGTCTTTCTATTCATCCCTCCATCCATCCATCCCTCCATCCATTTACCTCTCCATCCATCCATCCCTCCATCCATTTACCTCTCCATCCATCCATCCCTCCATCCATTTACCTCTCCATCCATCCATCCCTCCATCCATTTACCTCTCCATCCATCCATCCCTCCATCCATTTACCTCTCCATCCATCCATCCCTCCATCCATTTACCTCTCCATCCATCCATCCCTCCATCCATTTACCTCTCCATCCATCCATCCCTCCATCCATCCACCTACCAGGGCCTTTGTTCCCAGCTGAGACCCCACCGCCCTTGTCGCAGTGCTTGCCTCAGGGGTCCCTTCCCCTGGGGGGTCACTTTCCCTGGGGGGACACCTGCACCCCTGTTTTTGGGAGACACCTCCATCCTTTGGAAGGGCACCCTCAGCCCTATTTCAGGAGGACATCTCTGACCCCTGGGAGGGGCACCCCGGCCCCTATTATGGGGGCCACCTCTGTCCTTGGTTGGGTGCTCCTATGTCTATTTTGGGGGATCCATCCCCATTTTGGGGATCCTCCAACCCTATTTTGGGGGGGATACTTTGTGGCATCTGCACCCCTGTTTTGGGGAGACACCTCCAAACCTTCGTGGGGCACCCTACCCCTTATTTCAATAGTGGTGGTGGGCAATTCTCTCCTCTCCTCTACGTTGGGAGGAAGGGGCCACCTCCTCCACAGATTGGAAAGGAGATACTCCCCATCCTCATTTCAGGGTGGGGGGCCCCCACCCTGGTTTCGGATCGCGGATCCCCAGTCAGTATTGGAGAGGGGGCACCTCCTCCCCTGCGTTGGAGGGGAGGGAGCATCACCCTGTATTGGAGAGGGGACCCCCACACCTGGTTGGGAGGGGACACCCCCACCCTTAT